GCTTTACTCTTAGTGCACTTCTATGAGAAAAAACATATTTGTTCAAAGTGCTTGCTACATATAGTTTTATATTTTTTGGGAACCCAGACTTCTCTATTTATTATTTTTAACCATTTTTGTTTAACCTCAATATTTTTTGAGGAAATCTGAAACATTAATAAGGTTTAATTTATCTCACTAAAGTATTTACTATAATGCCAAAAATAAAATATTGAAAATTAAAAAAATAACTAATTTAAAAGAGGCTGCATCCAAAAATATGCCTTTGCCTGTTATAAACATGATGTATTTATTTCGTTAACGATTGACGTCAGCCCGCCATTCTATCTTGTTCTAACTTAAGATATGCTATGCTCTTTCTCTTTTACATTGCCAATCTAACGTAAGTAAATACTAAATGGGTGCGTTTGGCAGAAAAAAGCGCTAGCAAGCGTTTGTAAGCAAAATGGCGAAACTAAACAGTTTTCGGCCAGGACAAGTTTGCTAACTTCAATAGCGCTGACACAATCCGCCATTTTACTTATTTAATTTGTTTGTTTTGAAGTAGAGTTTATAAGTTGTTTTGTTCAATATTAGTTTTAAGTAATATAATGACATGAATAAACATATTATACATGTTATTGAAAACTCATGATTGGTAAGTTTTTAATATGAATACTTTACGAACATATATTTAAAAGGTTTAAACCAACATAGTGTCCTAGAGGAAAATAGCTACTTATGATTTGACAGCGCTTACCGCTTACGATTGCCATTTTGCTTACAAGCGCTTGCTAGCGCTTTATTCTGCCAAACGCACCTAATATATGGGTGTTATGAATCCTTTTCGGATTTGGAGTCCTTCTGGGCATTATCCACACACCTATTACTGCCTGCCAAATAGAAGTGTTTGCATTGCTGCGTTTTAGTCTCAAGTGTAAAAAGAAGAGAATTAGTATAATCACATTGTTCGAGGTATTCCATCTTTGTCATCAGGGGCGACAATGCTACTGTAGCTTGCTGTTAGAAGTTAGTTAGTTGTTCATGGAATGCAGTAGGCACTCACCATCAGGTGGACTGTAAGTTTGCTTGTAACTCAGGTACACTGAAAAAAATATTGAAATGTGAATTTTAAATACCGTTTTATTAACGTAGCAAACAATTTCAAGTTCACAGCTGAACAAAGCGGACTTACGATGACTAACTACATTATATAAGGAGAACAATAACATTGCTCCTATTTACGAGACAATGAATTGCTTTAACTTGGAACAGAAATATCAATGAAGGCTCAAACCTTGGATCGATCCTAGTAAACAAGGCGTGTATAAATTATAAGTGCACTTGAGGTTGGTCATAATCAATAATCATAGTCATAACATAAAGTTAGACTTCATTCATTAATTCACTTCTTTTTTTAATTATCCTAGAAATACTTATCTTTAGTTTTTCCGTTTTTAAACCCTACAATCGTTACAATCTTTACATCCAAACGAACAATTTTATTGAAATTTTAAACGTCCTGTAATAAAATCATACGTGATTTATACACACGAAATAATTTGTAGAATTTATAATATTATATTCTTATGCACTATGCTTGGAATAACGACCTGGTAAGACATGCGTAAAGTCGATGGATGCAGGTGGCTCAAGACCGTGCTTTGTGGCATTCCTTGGGGGAGGCCTATGTTCAGCTGTGGACTTGTGAACGGCTGTAATAATGATAATGGTGATGGAGCATCATGCTTCTAGCTGCTGTTAGTTGCTGATTCCATTATTTAAAAATATTAATTGAAGTACATGGTTAAAATCATCAAAATATAAATATAAAAATACTGTGTGCGAAATATGTTCTTGAATGAATTAATGAATGAATGAAATATATTTTATTGTACACCGAAAAACATAAGAGAAAAAAACAACAGGTAATTTAATGGTATCCACATTGTAGAGGATATGTATTAAATGATATAATGACCTGTGAGAAAGGGTAAGTGTGTACGTAAGTTGTTAGAAAATACGTAAGACATAATATAATTATATAATCGATAAATACGTATATAATAAAATAAAATAAATTAATTTAAATTACAAAAATATATAAATGCGGCAATAAACTATATGAGAAAAATAAAATATACAAGAGCAGTAAGTGAAATAAAAGCCCAAACGTGGTGCATTGTTACTACCGTCCATCAATTTAAGCGTGGGGCTGATAGTACGAATTTGTAATCGTCAAATTGTCAAATCGTATTGACGATTTTTAAGATTGTTTTAGATTTTTTAAATTTTCAAACTTAGGTCAAATACTATTTCCAGTTTTTATTTGTTTATCATTAATAAATCAAAGTCTAAGATCCCACTAGATGTTGAGTGGGGAAAACGTCGTAGAGAGAAAAAAGAGAGAAAAAAAGAGTTCAAAATTTTAGCAGCCTGGAAGACAATGTAGTTGAAAAATTTCAATCCGTTGTTGATGTACACATCAGAAAGAGAAAGAAGAGAGTGCTATTTTCTGAATTAATAGTACCATTGTCGCTTTCGGGAGCGGTGGCTTTAAGAAAATCATCACTTTATTCCGCGCAAGTAGGTGCTATGAAACTTGAAGAAGGGAATAGAATCGGTCGCTATTTTTGATATCAATCTTGGAGCTTTTTATTTGAAAAGGCCAAAAGTATTCGCCAAATCAAATGATTCTAATCTTTGTAATTGGTAATAATTATTACTAAGAATTTCGTTGGAAAATAGACCTAAGAGGCTGAACATGCTATAGTCGCCACGCCTACCAAGTGCTGACAATCGCAGCCTTTTATTATTTTGAGTGATTATCAGAAAGATGCTGCTGCCGATCTCCTGGGTTAATTTCCTCCAGTGCCTCGTAGATGATACCCTGCGGGATGATACCCCACCACACTACCGATAGTAGATATTCTTACACTACTACTACACTTACTCTATATTTAAACATGTTAGAGCCACGTTGTTGTTATGATTGTAGCAAAAATGGGGATCTCGACCGGGGATGTGAGAGCGTGATCCTGCTCTCTCATTATACCGGCGTAAAATAGGAATTTATAAATATTCTATTTAATCTAATACAAAACTCTGTTCGAGTTTAAATTTTACATAAGCACACTGACTAAACCACTGAACATGCTGCTGCCAAGGATCATCATCATCTTCCCAATCTTTTAAGCCACCACCACAATGGAAACACTTGGTCCTGTCTGCATGGCCAGTATAAAAGAAACCGGCTTCTGCAAGATCTTCAGGTTTCTGTCGCATAACGAGAGGCCAGTTTTCGAAACTGAGCAACCGGCTAGATTTTGAACTGAAGAATGGATATTCAGCTCTTGAGTACTGCATATTCTTCTCGTTTTCTTCTCCACTCAGTGTTGTAGTTTTGTTATTCAATGATGTGTTCTGAACACGTACGTTCTGTACACGAAAACAGTAGGATTAAGTTCCTATATCCTACTGTTTTCGTATAATGGGTGTAGAGAACCGGACACCCCTTTACTGTAAACGAGGCATTCCATCTCAGTCCTCAGGGGTAACAACGCATCTGCAATTTGATTCTTATTTGAGGATAAATGTAGATGTCTAAGGGCCTCAACATCCACTTTCCATCAGGTGGACTTTGTGTTCGTTCGTCACCCTTATTCTATGAAAAATAGTCACCATATTTGTAAATAAATACTTGTTTCTTGTTTTGTATCTTGAATATCATTCTTAAGGGAGCTGTATAATTAAAACACAAAAGCGTAACTTAAATTGATTTACTTACACAAATTACATTAAGTATACAAAATTTTTAATTCTAACGAGGTAATATTTACAAAATAAATTCCTATTTAACTTCAATCGTTAGAAACCTTATTTAAAAAGTTAAGTGGAAGTAATTTAAATACGCATCGAGAAATGGTTTACACAACCGATTACAGTTAATGCGACATTAAGTACTTTTTAACTTTTCTGAATTTCTGTGAAACTTATGAAATGTAATTATTGCGCAGTAACAAAATTATTTTATAATAACCTAAAAACGTAGAGTAAAGAAAGTTTACTTCGTGAGATAGGTAATTTAGTGATAGATTTTTAAAATTCTTTCATGACGTTTCGGATTTCATAGGTTTTATTTTTTTGTGCGTATTTTTTTAAATAAAAGTAGCCTAAGTACTCCTTATAACATCAAGTTCCATCAAAATCGATCCAGCCATTTTGGCTTAAAGTTTTTTTTAATGAACTTTTTTAAAAAGCCATTTTTTACATTACCAATAATACTTCAATTTTATTTATTTGTACAGATAATGAAACCTTGTGATAATTAAAATGAAATGTCTTATTATTTCATAAGTCTTGTTAAGAACAATTTGTGCTAAACCCGAAGAAGTTTTTACTGATAATGAAAACTGGCTTTTCATCTAAGTCCTCAGAAGTTACAAGTCGTCTGATTCTTCACGATTTAGGTGTCTGTGGTCACAGTGTACACGTTTCATCAAGTGGCTCTTTGGTAGCCCTTGTATAGAGACAGAGACAGATATATCCTAACTGCATATGATGTAGTATCGAATCGAATAGAATCTGTGAAAATCACAGACAGCAGTATTTCTTTATTATTTTTAATTTAAAAAAAAAAACTGAGATCTTAGATCGTGATAGCGACATTTACACGTCACTTAAGGATATTAGAATATATTTTTTCTCTCTAGAACCGGACGGGATTTTTTATTAACACTGTAAAGGTTATAGTTTAACAAATTTTAATTTAATTAATATTTTTAAGGGGGATTTTTAAATTATCTCCATTGGAAAACAAACTACGACACTCCTCATTTAGCCAAATGTTCTGAGCTTTGGAAATGGCAATATTGGCTCCTGGACTACTACCGGCCAATGTTGCCATTTCCAAAGCTCAGAACATTTGGCTAAAATGATTAATTTATATAGTTTAAGATGGACCTATTTTATACACCTTGTTTGAATTTTGTTGATAATCACTTCTAAGCGGGTCCACTGTATCAAGTAGGAGGATCAAGCTGTTGTGACTTGGGGTTCTTTTCCTTTGCCAGAGGACTGCCTGCTGTCTCACCGCCATCGCCACTGTTGCCACTGTTAACTGCTACAGATGTTAATGGTACCTGGAAAGTAAATGAGGCATTATTTGAACCCTTTACCCCATTTCATTTTAATTATTAATGGAATCTTTTAGATCAGTTTCAACTCATCGAATGTTATTTGTTCCATAAAACGTATAAAAATGTTGTTGGTATATGATAATCGTAATACCGAATTTATTCTTTTGATACATTGCTAAAAATATAGAGACTATCAAAATACATTCAAACTAGAGTAAACCAAAATAATATTTGGTACAGCTACAGCAAATTCGGACCACAAAAGCAAATTAAAAGCACTGTAAAAAATATTACTTAGGCATAATTTCGTAACTGAAATATTGCGTATGTATACCATTTTATAGATATATCAATTTTATTAATAGTAATAAATATCTCAATTTACAACGGCGCCCAGAATTTAAAGCTTTAGAGATTTATAATAGCAAAAAATCATACATTTAAGATATATGTCGGTTCAGTATTGATATTGAATCCAACATTCTATTTTTAAACTTGGTCAGAATTAAAAAAATAATTCATCATTTGCCTACACTGATGTAAGAGCGTAGCGCAGCGTAACGAATTAGAATGCATTATTTATGTCTTGAACTATAGTAAGTTTTAAATTTGAATAATAAAACATAGTAATATTAGTCGCGACATCGGAAAATGCGAAGTATTTTTTATATAAATAAAATTTAAGATAAAATTTTAAATAATAAATGGTTCTTATTGCATCAGTGAAATCGTTCCGTTTGTATCGTTAGAGGCGGCAGAGGGAAGTATCTTACTGAAAGCAAAACTGTGCTTGCAATCAAACCTACCAAGAGTGGTAACTTTTATTTCAATGGACAAGGTAGCTAACGAGCACACATCAACAGTAAGTGGATGCCGTGGCCCATAGACATCCACAACAATCCTAGATTAGGAAACAATATGCAGATGTGCTGTCACCCCTAAGGACTAAGATGGAATAACTCATTAGTAGTAAAAAGAGGTCTCCGGTTCTCCATACTAAACACAGCAGGATTAGGCTGTTATTTTACGCTGGTATTCTGTGAGAGCGTGGTCCTTCCCAGGTTGAGCTGACCCATTCTACAGGGGCTAACGAAACAGTGGCAAAGATTCGTCTAGGAGGCCTATGTTCAGTAGTAGAATTTAATAGGCTGTATTAAACGAATGAATGAAATACAAAAAAAAAAAAATAAGATAAAATGTTAAACATTTAAATCATATTTTTTTGGTAATGTTAATAAAAAATAATCTTTTTAAGAAAATATTCTCATTTTCACTCATCTGGTTGGATTTAGCGGTGAGTAATTCATTCTTGGGGCGATGTATACGCTTTTACAACAAAATCCCAGAAAATATACAAAATTTGTATACACAAGTTCAAAAATGTTATTAAACTAAGTTTGTATAAAAAGGGTTATTATAATATTAAGGAATTATTAATTAGAAATAAGGAAAAGAAAACAGGAAACCCCTGGGAAGGGTGATCGCTACCAAGCTATTTCTAATTTGTCTTGTGTTGTTTATTGTAAACATTATTATAAGCTATTATTGGAAAAAAATAGTCCCGCTGTTCTGTTGGTTCTTCCCAGGACAGAGGTTTTTTTTGCGAACCAGTGGTAAATGAAAAAAGTGACTTTCAATAAGTATTGTTATAATCTACATTGAATAAAAAAGTTTCTGTTTTGTATGTACCCCATATAGACCCGTGGGTATCGAAAGACGACAAAGCGAAAAAAACAATTATGGGCAGTGGTGTCAGTATAAGGGTAAGAAATATCAGAGGCTGAGAGGCACAAACTCAGAGGAGATTGGAAAAGACTCCCCCCCCCCGTCGTTCCCGATGCTCACGGCAGTAAGAGGTAAAAAAACCACACAAATTTAAGAAAAAGATTTATTTCTTCACGTTTGAATACCGATTCTGTGATAAGTGATAACGTACTTAACGGTAACCACAGGAATTTTTTTTTTAATTTACGCAAACACTACACATTGAATAAAACTATATTTACAGATTCTATCGCGTTTAATTTACTTATTTTTTATCCTCGACGTTTCGGGTACTTTACAGCACCCATGGTCACGGGGGGGATTCACAGGAATTTTGTTACATGCTGTATATACAGCGTTACATGTCAATGTATGTACCCCATATAGACCCGTGGGTATCGAAAGACGACAAAGCGAAAAAAAACAGGTATGGGCAGTGGTGTCAGTATAAGGGTAAGGAATATCAGAGGCTGAGAGGCACAGACTCAGAGGAGATTGGAAAAGACTCCCCCCCCCGTCGTTCCCGATGATTGTGGCAGTAAGAGTTAAAAAAACCACACAAATTTAACGGTCGAGTTTTCAGAAAAAGATTTATATCTACACGTTTGAATACTGATTCTGTGATAAGTGATAACGCACTTAACGGTAACTACACGTATTTTTTTTAATTTACGCGAACACTACACATTGAATAAAACTATATTTACGCATTCTATCGCGTTTAATTTACTTATTTTTTATCCTCTACGTTTCGGGTACTTTACAGCACCCATGGTCACGGGGGGCATTCACAGGGATTTTGTTACATGTTGTATATACAGGGTTACATGTCAAGTCGACCTACAGTTGAGGAGTTGTAGTAGTGTGTCATTTGTAACTGATTTGTCTATTAAACACTATACCCAAAACTAAACCGTTTTTTTAACAAAGAAATTTAAAGTTTTTTCATAAAATAGACGAATTTTTGTCTACTGTTCATTTATCTCGTAATAAGTGCCTTTATTTTATTTGTTTTTCGATTTTTGTGTAGTACATTTCCACTTGTCTTCAAGGTAAGAAAAAGGAATAAATCCATAAAAAATATTTTTTTTTCAGGAATATTAAAAAAAAGTTTATGTTAGTAGGTATGATGTCTGCAGATCTGCTTATAAATATCTACGTTTCTTCGGCTATCCAAAAGGGCATAACACTTGTGGGTATCAATATAATTAATAGAAAAAAACTAAGATGAAAGGCTATATAGTGTGTGTGCGTGTGTTTGTGCGTGCGTGGCGTGCTGCGTGCGTGCGTGCGTGCGTGTGTGTGTGTGTGTGTGTGTGTGTGTGTGTGTGTGTGTGTGTGTGTGTGTGTTTTGTGCAATAGATTATTTTTGTTGTATGTGTGTGTGTTACAGTAAAAATGAAAGCAACGCTGAAATTGATTTTGCAGATTGTCACTTAGAATTGCTACACTTTGAATTTACGTTTAGTGATATATTTTATAATTATATGCTAAAAATATTCATTAATCTGTTAGATTGTAGAGTGGACCTACCATAGATACACCTGTGCAGATGTGCGCGTCGGATGATCGAGGCGGTGTTAGTGCGGCATCAAAACGCAGGTCAAGTTGCAGCATGTAAACGGCAGCTGCAAGAGTGCTGACCGACACTACCAGTTGAGCTACTGCAACTCCTATGCAAGTTGTACTATTGCACCTGTAAGGAAACGTGCTCGGAAATATTTTAGAATCTTTTTGACTTGATACCTGTTGACACAAGTTTTTGAAATTATGTTAGATACTTTGGTTTCTGGGTGTACGGATTTTTGCACTTTGCCTACATGCAGTTGGCAAGTCTTTTTCTCTAAATTACAACTAATTTAGAGAAAAAGACTTGCCAACGGTATATTCTCGCTGACAATTAAAAGTTGTACTTTTATTAGCATTTAAATATTACTGTGTAAAACAAAAATATTTTACTGGTCACGTGGCAATAAAGCTTGTATTAAAAATTGTTTTTGACGTAGTAGAATCGCGAAATTAATCTACTTTAGCTAAATTTGCCCCCTAGAATTTAATTTAAAACTGTGTGTGAAATCCAGTATTAAATTCTTTTAAAGATTTTATAAGTATTGTCTATAACGAACTTAATTTATGCTTTTGTTATACTATCTCAGACTGCCTCGTTGGTTTAGTAGTAGTAAACGTTACTACTGATCATGAAGTCCTGGGTTCGAATCCCTGGTTGGGCCAAAAAAAAGCAGTTATTGAGTTTTTGCGTCAGGAAATTCTCAGTAGCTGCCTGGAGTCAGAAAGTTGGCGGTGTCTCACCCTCGTGCCTCTGAAAGCATGTAAAGCCGTTGCTCCTGCGCTTGATCTCTCTCCGGTCGTGTCGGTTTACCGTCTCATTGGACTATAACAGTGAGGGAATACAGAGTGTATCTATGCTTGCACATGCACTATGATTTCGTCCTTCGCCGATGGCTGTTCTCGGTTGAGAACGGCTGCATTGACCGAAATTCAGTCAGGGAGACATTATTATTATAGTATCCCACTACGCTTAGCATTAGCATAACTGACTGAGAATGATTAAACTATTTATATGCATATAATATAAAGGGACGTTGAGTTATTCCTGTTTTACCTTTTCTTCTTATTTATAAGTGATAGTAGCCAAATGGCAGGATGTGAACCGCGACCTCAAAGGTCGTCTGTTCGAATCCGTCATCCGACTACTGTTGTTATCCCTCATACACAAACATTTTAAGCTTACCAGTAGGGGTTAAAGGGGATATTAGTAATTACAATAAAAAGATTTATCTATATCATATTTTACACATTCGAATTTGGAAAAATTCAAAAACCTTTGTTATTGATGAATTTTTAATGCCGTATAAATAAATCAAACTGCATCAAGTCCCATATATTTGGTATTATTTCAATCTAACGTTTAAATACGAGTACGTAAGCGTTTTGGAATTATTTCTCCATAACTGGCTTTTAGTGAGACTGCAAAACTAATAAATAAAGTTACTCGTAAGTATAGAGCGCTGGTTTGTATCAGTGCAGCTGGCGCTTTTGTTTCCAATGTTACGAGTATTGAATAACTTCAAATATTAAATAAATATCTGTCTGTAACACTACACGGTGTATTATACTCTCAAAGCTAAATGTTTAGAATCTAAATATTACACAAATTAATTTAATTAATTTGCGGTTATCCATCGCATAGTTAACTTCTTTCAATTGTGCCTCATTTAGAGGCGAAAAAGTGTGGTATTAGGGTATTAAAGTATTATTTCCTGTATTTCTGAGAGCAGTTTTATTGAGTTTAGTGTTTGTGTTGAGTAGTGTCGGAAAGACCATAAAATGACTGTCGAAGGGAGGGCAGTGCTCCTTAAGCTAGGTAGTACACACCATTTCATTTATTCATAAAGATTCAAGCATATTAAATTTCCCATCCTCAAAATAATTAATTTATTCAAAAAATTCAAAATCTCTAATAAAAAACAATAGCTGCCATTAGTCTCGCTAAAACTAAAAAATGGTTGGACTGATTTTGATGAATTTTTGTGTGTATTTCAGTAGGTCTCTAGATGGTTTAAATGTACATTTGAACCCGGTAGGTGTCGCTGTTGTCGAGATCCAGAAATCACCCGTGCGACGCCGGGGCGGGTCGATATACATACACACATAAACACTCACGCCTGTCACCCAGAGGGGTAGGCAGAGACTACAGACTTCCATTTAGCACGATCCTGACATACCTCTCTCGCCTCTTCCACATCCATATACCTACGCATACATGCTCGTCGGTTAAGGGTACTGGTTGCGCGGAAAACCATTCGTATTTATTTATTTGACGGTAGGCTTGCCAAATCGTTTATCCCTTTCCAAACGATATCATTCATACCCTCTTATCGACACATCGGGGTGGTGGGGTGGGAGGGGAAAGAAGATGATTCTAGAATATTACGCAATCATCGCAACCGAAGGAATAAAAAGTCACGCGCGGCCGAACCGCGCCCTCTTCCCGCCGCGCTCGTCGTTGGAACCACACCGCTTAAGACAATAGTGTAATAGAAGGGCTATTGCCCACGCGCACCGCTAGTATAACCGCTTAGCCTGAAGCAGTCGAGCTCCAGGAAACCCGCCTCACCTCGTGTGAGAAATAGTCGCGCACCGTACTCTCTCCCAACGTATCACCGGACAAGAAAGGCTGGGGCCCCAGAGAGTCTACCCAGAGTGTCTTCCAGAAGTCGCAGCAATATAGTGCCCAAGCCGCATAGAAGCAACACCACGGTGAGTGAACATTCTGAGTTCCTGCTTGATATAATTGTGTTTAATAGTTAATCCGCTCCAATTTTATTTTCTCCTAACCAAGCAGGATTCCTTTCATAGATTTGGCAAATAATAGTTCGTTTTAGGGAAGAGCGAGTGCATTGTATGGGAAACCGCGTGCTATAGTCGCCATTTTATGTAAACGTAGAAGCATTTCGCATATACAGTCCACTTTGGTTAATATCTCGCGTAATAGGTTTTAAGGCTCCACCGGGGAATTGGACTTCGGTAGCCTTAGGCTCGTCGCTCCACCATTTTATGGTCACTTCGGCAGGATTTGGACTGGTGTTTAGTAGTCGTTCAACCATTTTCTGGTCGAATTATTAGATTAATTACTTAGACAATGCACTCTAATTTATGGAATAGATTTTAATAGTATTCGCTTAGTTTAAATTTAAATTTTGGTTAGTTACTCGCAAATAGAATTATTCATTTAAATAGTGTTTGTATTTGGTTTAAATTTAAAGCTTATTAGTCGCTTAATTAATTGAAACAGTGTAATCACACGCGTTTTGTACGCTTACCCGACAATTTTGATAAAAATATATTGAGTTTAGCGAGCGACGCGCGTCACCTCGGCTCGCTGTAACAGGTGTTCAATTTAATGACGTAATACGGCGCGAATGTCCATCCTCCAGCGTTGTGAGATTAATTGTGATTAATATAATTTTATTATAATAATTTAAAATGGCAGTTAGTGGAAATGAAATCAAAATTAAAACGCTTTATGCCAAGAGGGACATACTTTTTTCACGTATACAAAGTATTAGTGATCACATAAAGAACATTAATGTAGATGCAGTGCGGGAAACTTTCTTAAATGAAATTGAAACGGTGGATTCTTTGCGGACGGATTACGAAAGAATATTAGACCAAATTAATCATTTGGAATTACAAATTGACCCGAAATATATAGTGAACTACCAACCGCTTCTGGCATTTGAAGATATGTAGTGTCTCGTGAAAAGAACGGCGAAACTCTTACAGTCTCCAGCTCAAAACGAAGCAAAGCCGGAAACACAGGTACGCCCACGTGACTCAATTAGGTTGCCGCCAATAGATATTCCGGTATTCAATGGGGATATTAAGACATGGCCCTTCTTCTTCAGCAGTTTTCAAAACAATATACATAATAACCCATCGTTATCGGACGCTGAAAAATTATATTATTTAATTAGTAAACTTAGTGGCAGGGCACAGTCAATTTGCTCGGGTTTTACACCTACAGCAAACAATTACTTGTTAATATTCGAAACGCTTAAAACTAAATATGAAGATAGGAGAATGTTAGCTTCCGAATATTTGAACCAGATATTCGATCTTAAACCTATATCACCCGCGAACATCAACGGCTTAGAGCAGTTTTTAGATAAATTTGTGGCATCGGTGGCTGCACTTAAGAATTTGAAATTTAATGACCTTATGGACGTGGTGTTTCTCCATATTGCACTAAAGAAATTAGACCCCGACACCGTGCGTGCGTTTGAAATGGAGCATCGTAGCTCGGAGATGCCTTCCTTTCATTCATTAGCATCGTTTGTGCGAGATCAAATAAAGGTGATGCAGCGCTCCCCGAACGTTAAACAAGAAATTAAAAAATGCGTCGACCGTAGACAGACTCAACCATGTAAAACAGCAGGGTCGTTAGCATACGTAACCGCTACGTCGGCACCACTTCAGCATGCCTGTATCATATGTAAAGATAAACACGGTAATTTATACAATTGTGCGACCTTTCGTAAATATTCACCAAGCGAACGTTATAAATTAGTAAAGACAAACAACCTATGTCTGAACTGCTTAAGCGATAAGCATTTAGTTGCAAAATGCAATTCTAGTTCCGTATGTAGCAAGTGCGCCAGGAAACAACACACGCTATTACATTTTGAAAATAGCAACATATCGGCGTCAAGTAAAGCGGACAAGGAATTCACTCCCACTAAAGTCAACGATTCTAGCGGTCGACCTGGTGATGTCGCTCTGTGCTCATTGGCAAATATGGGAGCACAACCTCCTTCAACCGTGTTACTGGGTACGGCACTTATTTTGGTTAGGGATTCGCGTGGAAACGAACAAAGCGTCCGTGCACTGCTGGACAGCGGAGCCCAAAATAGCTTTATAACGCGACAATGTTGTCAGCGCTTAGGCTTAGTAATAAATAGGTCACTTTCATGTCCCGTAGTCAAAGGCATCGGAGGTACTAGTAAAACTACCCAGGGATATATAAATTTAAAATTTTATTCTCGGATAGATCGTAATGTTAACTTTGATATAAATGCACTAGTAGTAGATAGGGTCACTGAACGGTTGCCAACCGTTTCGGTTGACACCTCGGCAATGATTGAATTTAAAAATTTGACTCTAGCAGACGACACT